GGCTCCGCTAGGAGCCCTCCCTGACAGTAAGCTCTTATATCTTAGAGCAGAGTGAATAGAAAATGACATCTATCTTTATAGATATAATTATTAATATTATTTATCTAGTAGATGTTTTAGTTAGTAGTAGTTAAAAGCTTTATTTTTTAGTACGCGCCTATTTTAGTGGGGTGTTGCATCGGCTGAACTGTTGCACGCACTGACCACATCCAGTATATTTGTTTCGTCATCCACTAGCGGACACTTTGTTCAAGCTCAACGCTTGTACCTACGACGTGCACATCAAAACATCTAGCTCAATCCCAGCTTATAGTGCAGCTAGAAATATTTTAAGGTTTAACTAGCTGAACAGGCCTGACCGAATCATGCAGGGTGAATCGTCTGGTACTCGTCGGCCCTCCTTACGTCCTTTGCTGCCCGCTGTTGCTTGTATGCAACGGCAGACAACAGAACCACCCCCTAAGAAAATTCGCACTTCCACTGCCTGTGAAGCCTGCAGAGCAAAGAAAAAAAAGGTAACATGCACCTTCTAGCTTGTTCCCAGTCCTTGCTCAAGTACTTTAGTGTGATGGGAATCGCCCGAAGTGTGCGTCGTGTATTATGCGCGCAATCGATTGCTATTATGGTGAGACCGAGTCACGTGTCGCTACCCAGAGATACAGCGAGTTACGTATGAGGAAGACGACCTACGAGGAGTTGATCGATTTGCTCAGAACTCTGCCCAGCGATGATGCTACAAAGCTGTTGGGTCGGTTGCGCACAGAAGAAGATCCTACTTCCCTCTTGCGTCAGATACAAACAGGCGACCTCCTTATCCAGCTCTCTGTTGCTCCAGAAACCCGAAGGCGATACGAATTCCCGTACCTTTCGAATATGCCATCATCTCTCATCGTTTCAGGCAATTCCTACTTAGAATCCATCATTTTCGCCACGACCTGGAAGGGTACCCAGCATTTCCAGACTATTACTGATCATCGACTGAATAAAATGTGGGATTCCGATGCATACACGAAGCCCTATCATGCAGCTAAAATCGCGGAGCCTCTGCTCTCCGATGTTGACATCTCAAAGTGGACTTCTGTCACATCCGACAACAAGCTGTTGAGAGAGCTTTTAAGCCAATATCTGCTGTCTACTTACAATGTGTTTTTACCTTTCCCTAAAGACCTATTTCTCGAAGACTTGGCTTCTGGATGTGCCAACCATTGCTCTTCACTTTTGGTCAACGTTGTACTTGCTGCGGCATGTGTAAGTACACCTCATTCATTTTAGCGATTGTACACTCAACAATACTCTGCAGTCAAGTTACCAGCGACTTCCAAATCGGGGCAACTTTTGGATGCCTGAAAGTTTGCTATACAAATTCTTGGCAGAATCAAGAATGCTGTGGGAGCTCGAAAGCGTGAGAAAGCCCTGTCTCACAACAATCCAAGCCGCATATACCATGTCAACTATCATGAGTAACACCGGGATAGACAAGTTGGGGTGGAGATATATGCTCCAAGCTATCACTATCGGTGAGGAGCTCGGAATCTTCCAATCGTCAGCCAGCATATGTTGTCCAAAAGAAAAACGGGCTCGAGTTTGGACAGCTTGGAGTGTTTGGTGGTTCCAAGTTGAACTTGGGTACTACTACTTCCACAAGCCGCCGCATCTTGAGCGACCTCCTGTAGACCCGCTACCCAATCCTACTGCTGAGCCAGACTGGTATGGCGAAACTTGGTTGCAGTATCCGCAAAGCGGTGTTCTTATTCCCATACATCTAGGTCACAACATGAAGTTAAGATGTGATCTGAATGTCATTAAAGGCGATATCGCTACTGATTTGTTAGGTTCCTCCTCTCACTTTTCACTTGAACGGGCACGCTATTATCATGATAGGTTGGAGGCTTGGTATCAAAAGCTTCCCGCACCGTACACATCGCAGCAGATATTCACCATCTCGCAATTCCTGATACAGTAGGTTGACTATCCAGACCGTATACAATGTTCACTATTCAAGATTCATAACTGATTTCCTCTTTAGTTTGGAATACTGCAATATTGTCATCTCACTCTTCGAGCCCTACATTGGTGCCACTGATGTCGCTAGCACCATTGATTCAACCAGATCCCCTACAAACATTGTGAGATTGGCAGAAGCCCAATTTGAAACAGCTTTTCGACTGTACTATTTGCGGCATAGCTTTAAAACCTTTGATGGTCACCTCATGATGTACGCAATGGTATTGGCTAATAGGGCTGCTAAAGTTCTTAAAACAACCATACCGGCGTCTGACGATTCGCCACAGGCAAAGCGAGAAGAGCTTCGCTCAACACTGGTCCTATGTGGAAAAGCACTCAGAGACCAGGCAGATAATTTTTACCTTGCGAATCTGATGTGTCTTGCGCTGGGAGGTATGTTAGAACCTGAGGATCTACAGTTGTTGAGTACCTGTGTGAGTTTGGTGCCAGACATTGAACGGCCTTCGCTGCCCCAGCATGAACTACTGAACTGGCCACTTCCTATTGTGAGAATGGATGAAGAGCCGAGTAAAGCAGTACTTGCAAGCTTGGTACAACAATTCAAAGACATGGAATCGGCGACGAAAGTTTGATAGAGTCTAAGTAGGGAATGCATCTATACACGGATTTTGTATTTTCGAAGAACTCATTGGATGACCTTTCTCCCTGCGGCTGGAAACACTTCATAGCTCGAAAAAGGCAGCGACCTACATTCACCTGCAAGCGGCATAATTTCTATCTGAGACCGACATTGCTTACACCTATTACACCTTCTGTAGCTCTTGTATTTCATATTCATGATCATATCACGCAATTATGCCTTGAAATCCAGTGCATGGAACCTATTTTTATAGCTATATTAGTAAGAGCTTTTTGGACATTAACATAATGACTTACATGCTGTAAGCAAGACACTAGAGGCTTCCCAGTGAAAGGGTTCGTACATAGGCGACGTCGATGACTGCCTGAGTAATATGCTGCTGCATTGACATGATGATTCGGTCGGGACGCCTTGCAGTCGGCAAGTTGGTCGCCCTGGCTAAGATAACAACATGGGATACCACATTCTCCTAGAATCAATGTTAATTTCAATGTAGTTGTGATGGGCTACGCCATTGAGACTAAGATTGCTCTTAGTAACATATCGCTAGAGCGATCGTGGCCTCAGCTCAATAAACCTCGCTGTCATGATAGAAAAAGTATGTTACCAACCGTGTAGAGTAGCAATCCAATTTTCATAGACGGGAACTACCTCTGAACAATAGTCTGTTCTACGAGCAATCGTAAACGACTAAGGTTGCGAAGTTCACGTTAGGCGATAACAAGTTCGTCTCAGCGTAAAAGCTAACAGGAGTAATAGTTCAGCGACTTTGTACCTCTAGTAATATCTACCCTGCTATACAATAAAATTCCATTCCCGCGGTATCCCGCGTCTTTCCGCTCCAAAGTTTTTCCTTTGCCGAGTTTAGAATTAACTTTGCTCTAAAATAGTCTTTATGGGTAAATACGAGTAAGCTGTGCTTACGCTGACTACATAAGCCGCTGCTTTATTTTGGCCAAAGTTGACACCACCTTCATCCTGCAAATTCACTTGGTAAAACATTGTCTTAAACTCTCTATAACTATAGTAACTTGAAGTGATCGAAAGGAAAGTACTCTAGTTTAAGGAAAAGAATAGTTTCAAGCTTTGGATCCTCTTTCGCAAGCACAAACGCAAGACACCGCAATGGTCTTGCCGTCGCATCGGGAAGAGCCGGCGACGGAGATCTGCTGTCAGCGTACATCGTCAGGTATATACAAGTCACAATTGCCAACTGCCGCCCTTGCCTAACGCGAGCGCAACTACAGTTTGTGCGTCGATGCTATCTGGAATAGCTAGTCCACAGCAGCCTTGTCTATCGCGCCTCCTCCTCCTTTTCCTTTTCCTGGGGACAAGCATTGAATCTAAATGCCTTGTTCTGGCGGCTTCAGGGGACAGTAGTTCTCAGGAGCCGTTGTGGTCGTTCGTAGACCCTTTGATCGGTACTGTCGGTCCACGCGCTGGTTCCGCGATCGCAGGCGGAAATTCGTTCCCTGGTGCTAGTCTACCGTGGGCGATGGCAAAGCCTGGAATCGACACGAGCTTCATCGGACTTCCAAATGGTAGTGCAGTGGACGCCAATGCTGGATACACACCTTTGGGCAACGTGACGGCTGTAAGCATGACCCACGTTAGCGGATCTGGGGGAGTACCAACGTGTCAGTTCCCTGCTTCCCAATTAGCTACCAGCACTGAGATTATGTAGACGGCTTGATATCGCAGATGCCTCTCCTTGGTAATCTAGCCTCCGTCAACCTCGCCGACAATATGACCTATGCTCAAAATCGTAGTCTTGACTCAGAATATGCGACTGTTGGTCTATTCACTACGACTCTACAAAATGGAGTCAAGATCGAAATTACTTCTGGCAATCACACAGGATTCATGCGATATACATTCCCTCAACTGGAAGTGCTTTCGAACCGTTCATCTACCTTTCGTGGTGATTCAATGATGCCAAAGGCCGGCACAATCAATGGAAACGATGCGCACGTACTTGTAGACCTCACACATGTACTTCCAGCCTACTCTTCAATGGCTTACTCGCAAAAGTTCCTGCGCGGGGAGCTGCATGTTCCGTCTTCTTCCAACGCGTTGCCGTCATACCATGGCTCTGCATCCTACACGGGCGGCTGGCCACAGCCCGATTCTCACACGATCCACTTTTGCGGGAACTTCAGTGTCCCTGCAGACTCCATGTTAACCCCAACGTCAGACTATGTACAGGGAGGGCACTCGGGTATCGCCTCTGGTACTAGTACCTTTAGCTGGCAATACAACCCTTTTTCGCCACCGACAACTCGGCCGGTCCCAAGGGGATATCCTGATGTACTATCCTACGCTGGGAGCGGAATGGGCCTTGGTGCTCTGTTCAGCTGGTCGCCAACAGAGGCACGAGTGAACGGTACCCTTACCCTTGAAGCCAGACTGGGCATCTCGTACATTAGTGCTGCCCAGGCATGTTCGCACGTGGAAAACGAGCTTCCTTATACAAAATCTTTCGAGAACGTAGTAGAGCAAGCAAGGCAAGAATGGGAGGCTAAGGTGCTAAGCAAGATACGAATCGGAAACGATGGCGACGCGACAAGCAACAATGCGACGCTGAAGCGGATGTTGTATTCGGCCCTGTATCAGACAGGTCTGATGCCAACCGACAAAACGGGTGAAAACCCTGTGTGGGAGTCAAATGAGTCTAAACCATACTATGACGACCACTACGTAAGTTCACCGCTCGCTGACAACACTGTAGAAACTGATTGTGACAGACACTGTGGGACACGTACCGGACCCTGTTACCCTTGTATCACCTAATCTTCACAAAAACGTACTCCCGCGTTCTATCTGGGCTTATCTCAATTTTCACCGAAGAGGGCTACCTACCCGCTGGCCGTGCGGCGAACTGGAATGGCCGGGTTCAAGGTGGCACGCACGCAGACATCGTCTTAGCCGATGCTTTCGTAAAAAGCATTCGTGCATTGAACGGTGAGACAGGTCGCGGCGAGCTCGACGGTACAATCGATTGGCAGGAAGCCTACAGAGCGGTGATGAAAGATGCAAGTGCAATGCCTGGGCGCAATGTTGATCCGGTAGCATTTGACGGGGCCACCAAGGAAGGAAGAGGAGCATTGGATGACTATCTCTCACTCGGCTTCATCACGCGCAATCATACCCGCAGCATCTCTCGTGGCGTCGAGTACCCGCAGAACGATTTCGCAATCTACAGTATGGCGCAAGGACTTGACAAGCCTCAAGAAATGGTCGATCGCATGCGCGATCGAGCGAGCTGGTGGCAGAACCAATGGAATCCAACGGCGAACACATCCCTTGATGGCATTGGGACATTCACAGGCTTTCCAGGCGCTAGAAACGCGGACGGCACGTGGAACTTCACTGCCTATGACCCATTGGGTTGCGGAACTTGCGGATGGGACGCTGACATATACGAGGCTAAGGTTTGGGAGACTGCATTCAGTGTCGCCCCGCACGACATGGCCAAAGTAATTGATCTAATGGGCGGCGATGAGGCTCTAGTTCTTCGACTGGACGCCAGTTTCGTCCCAGGTTTCGGTACATCAGTTGGCGCGAATAACGATGCCGGCTCCGCCCTCTTCAACCCTGGCAATGAACCGTCATTCGCGACGCCGTTTCTCTATAACTATATCCCTGGGATGCATTGGAAGACAGTCAATCAGACACGAGCGACGGTTGACGCCTTCTACAGCGACGCGCACAATGGGTACCCGGGAAACATTGACGGTGGCGCGCTACCCAGCTGGCTGATCTTCAATCTTGTTGGGATTTACCCTGTGCCCGGTCAACCACTTTATCTCCTCTCTGCCCCACGCTTCTCGTCGCTAAATATCTCACTCTTCAGCGAAACATCGGTAGAGACTTTCTTGACCGTGTTGGCGCGCAATATGTCGAGCACGAGCTATTACCCGCAAAAAGTCACTTGGAATGGGGAAGAGCTCGACCGAGCTTGGCTGAAGCATAAAGAGATTGCACAGGGAGGCGAGCTTGTTTTCTACATGGGTGAGGAGCCTACAAGATGGGATGTTGGTGAGCGGCCTTGGTCTCTATCGGCATGGCTGTGATTGTAACCGCTGGAATAAGATGGCTTGCAGTATGAACTGTGATAGCTTTGTCTCTCTCCTACTCGCTCAGAGGTCGAGATCGAAATGGTTAGAGAATATGAGCTGTTTTATGATTGGGAAAAGTCAGTGAGCATGGAGAAGATATTCACAGCTGGCTACAAATTTGTCCAAGCGTGGGTACTGAGTAACAACGGATTTAACATTGGGGATTACATTTAAGGCCAAAGCCGCTCTCCAGATTGGACTTTAATATACTCCCTAACCAACTCTACTACGGTACTACTTAAAAGTAATTTTGCATTTCCCACGTCGAATTCACATATAACCACTTTTATAGCAGACAAGGACTCGCGCATCCTTATTAACCCAGTGCTCGCCATGACACCAGAAGCTAGAAAATAGTTAGAAACACATAGCTGATCTTCTCGTACTCTAGTCTAACTATACTTTTATTAATCCTTAGCCTATCCTTAATCCTGCAGGTTTACATAGGTGTTACACGGGGTTTGAGTCTATACTACTCTAGTCAGGTCCGCCACTATAGCTAATAAGCCTTACGTTAGT